TCTGCCCTCTTGGCAACTCACAATCTGACGTTGCCTCCCACAAGTTTCTTTTTGGCTCCAACAGTACTTTGAAAAAATGTGAACCAACTGCTGATATTTTAAAGTCTCAGTTCCTCTGTGTGTAAAACGCCTGCCTTACAGGGATGGACCCTGAGGACACCTGGTGTGGACCCCACGTCAGCCTCGAGGGCCTGCAGGCTCCGTGCTGGCTCTCTCTCCTCCTCTTCAGGCTTTCCCCATGCCACGCAGGAAGTCCCTGTGAAGGAGGTTGGCACCTCTGGCTGGAAGGCCTCCTGTGGGTACTGAGGTGTCTGATGTCCTTCTAGCGTAACCACCTTGGAGGGAGATATGGTCTAATGCTGGGCCTCCCCCAAATCACGTGCTCAATGCCAACCCCAATGTGGTGCCAACAGGGGATTGGTCTTTTGGAAGGAAATTAGATCACGAAGGTAGAGCCCTGATAAATGGGATCGGTGCCCTTATGAAAGATCTCCAGGGAGCTGCTTTGCCCCTCCACCAAGAAAGAACACATCTAAGAAGGCTCTGTGAGCCAGAAAGAAGGCGTCCCCCAAGTTCTGAGCCTTCCAGCACCTCGATTTTGGACTTCCAACCTCCAGAATTGTGAGAAATGAATTCCTGTTGCTGGTGAGCCGCCCAGTCTCAGGTATCGTGTCGTAGTGAAGTGGCACCCCCTTTCTCCACAGAAAAGCCCTCTTCACCATGGCTGATTTTAGGACTGTCAGAAAAAGAGTCCAATGTAGATAAACTTCCCATTTTCATGTCACCCTGTTTACTTGGCCACTGGCCAAGAAGACACCAGCACTCCAGGTGCTGGACACCCCTTACTAGTTTTTTTCACAAATGTATCCAGTATAGTACTTTGAAGAAATGTGCAAATAAGGCCTCTGGCCTTGAGCTGGGCTTCACAGAGATGTCTACATGTTAAGATAAGTTACAAATGGGCCCATGGTAACAGCTGGCATGCGGAAAGTAGAAAGAAGTTCCCCCCTTCTCAGGTGTTGTCCTTGAAGAGTTAACCTGTCCAGAACAGTGAAAGAAAAAGCTGCTTTTATGTGAACTTCTGCAGACTGTGAACTTCTGAGCCCCTCCCCTTACACGCTGGGTATAAAACTCTGAAACTCCCTGAACTCGGGGTTCAGGGGATTGATTGATTACAGCAAAGGCTGTACCCTCTGAACCTGGCCGCAGCCCAATAAGACTGTTTCCTGCTGTCTTGGGTGCCTTGTCTCGTTTGTCCCTACAACAATAGCAACTCCAGGGGACGGACTCAGGTTCACAGGCTGCAGGTGGAATTCTGGGCAGGGCCTGCCTCACTCCTCTCCAGTCTCCTCCTCACTCTTCTCCTTCTCAGAGTGTAGGATTCCTCCATCCCCTGGTGCTCTGGCTGGCCACGCAGCCAGTCTCCAGGCTCCATCCATGCCACAGGGGGACACCTGCCTTCTGCCCACTCGCTCTGTTCTGTGCCACTGGTCCATCGAAGCCTCACCCTCTTCAGGAGCCTGGGCCTGCCCTTCTGCTCTGGACCACTCTGGACATGCTCAGCGTCCCAAGGGACCTCTCCAAAGGCCTGTCTGAGGTGGAGCAGGTGTGGGCTGCGCCATCAGAGGTCGCCCTGGCTGTGGGGATGGCCCCGCCAGACCTCCAGCACCTGCCACCTCTGTCCTTTGTTCAGGGCCTTCCACAGCCTCTCCCTGTCCTGGGAATTCCTCTTCCTTCCTGGCTGACCCCAGTCATCCTCCCGTCTCACGTGAATACAGCTTCCTCGGGGGCCCTTCCTGCCCCATTCTTCCTGGGCAGGCAGGTCTTCCCTTCCTCAAAACTCTCCCACAATTGTGCCCAACGCCGACGTGTGTGACGGACGGGGACTGTTCATCTTCCTGCCAGGCTGCGAACCCCACGTGGGCCTCGAGGAGGCCTGCTGCTCACCACTCACCCAGCAGGGGCTGCCCCAGAGAAGCGTCCACATGCACAGAGGAGCTCCTCATCCAGAGGGTGAATTAGCAAACTCAGTGGCCCATCGACCCCCACTTAGAAGTCGGCTCATCTACGGTGAGAAGCACAGCCTCTCCAAGTGGGCCACGGACCCGTTGCCCTTGGCAACCCCCCACCCCCCCCACCGTGGCTACAACGCTCCAGATGACCAGCTTTTCTTTTGAAACGTGATTTGGAGCTTGAGTGGACTGTGTAATCTGCTCCACCTGGAGGAGGGAGGCCACACGCATCTTGCCCAATGGAAGCCATCACTGATCCTTCCACTAAGGAGCTCGAAGCCCTGTGCTGTTGACCCTCGTGCTATGCTGAGCCCATGGTAGATGTCCTGGGCATTCATGTGCCAGGCTGGCTTCAGAGCAGAGCTGCAGGGTAGGAGCCTCGGAGGGGGGCCAGAGGAGCCTGCCCAGGCCTGCGGCAGAGCTGACCAGCCCGTGGGAGGCACAGGGCCCTGCCCTTCTCTGGCTCCATTCAGACCGAGCAGAGAGGATTTAATGTCGGCCTGGGGGCCTGTCAGAAAGCTTTCCTGCCTGGGACTTCTGGGCTCTTGAATTGTCTTGGGCTAAATGTCCAGGACGCGGGGTGGGGCTGGGGTCACTTCCAGCCGGGATCCAGCGAGTCCTGGAGCTGGCACAGTGCGGTCCTGAAGGGAAAGCCGTGGGACACGGCGGGGCCCCGCTGGGATTCACAGCAAGAGGAGGTGAAGACGGGGGAATCGTTCAGTGCTGGGATTTCCTAATCATGACTTCTGTTCCTTTGAAACCTCCCACGGGCCCGAATCACAGCCTCATTCTGCATTAAGAAAAGGATGCTGGCCATGGTGTCCCTACCGCAGATGACACTACTGAGGCGTGCCCCCTACCAACCCTACCCCAAAGCTGGGCAGCATTCCCAAGAGCAAACCCTTGTGTCAGCAGGCTGAGCCCCGAGCAGCCCCTCCTGAGCCCACAGCCGAGCCAGGCGCCTCCACAGGTGGCCCGAACGGCTCAGCCAGGAAATGAGAGTCCACTCTCTCCTGGGCGTCCCTGGGGTTGGTTTCGTGACTGTCTGCTAGGTGTGCTGGGCCCAGACGGTAGTGCAGGGACCCCTTCCACCATCCAGGTGTCACTCTACGTTTGAGGCACCTGCCATGCTCCAGACATGACCCCAGAGGGGTCATTAGTGGCCCCTGTGCCTGGTGGGCTCAGCAGCTTCAGAGCAAAGGCTCCCTCCCCTCTGAGACCACCAGGTCTGGGTGGGAGAAGATGCAGGCGCCCCTGCCTGCTCCCTTGCCAGGGAAGGCAACCCCACACTCCACTTCCGGGTGTGCCAATGGAAACCTGAGGACATCCGAGGGTGACTGAGAGGGGAAGGCCTTGGGGAACAGTGACAATGTGAGAATATTCTGGAAACAGCCCAGCGCCACCTCTTCCTATGGCACATGGGCACTCACCTGTCGTCGGGCACCAAGCTGCTTCATGGCTCCCTCCTCCTCACGCAGGTCCACGTGCCCAGCCACCTTCAGGGCCCTCAGGCCTGTGCCCACACTGTCCTGGGTGCCCCTAGCACCCCTCCAGGGGCCTGCCCTCAGCCCTGCAGTTGGTTTTCTTTCCCGCCCCATGTCTGAAGCACTTACTGCTACGTTCTCCTGTTGGTTTCCTGCCTCGGGAAAGATGCCGACAGTGACCAAGCTGGCCTTCTGACCATCACATTTCAGAGCTGAGGACGCCAAGAGGAGGCAGATTAGGTCCCGCTCAGGGTGGCCCTGGACATGAGATGCTCCAATAGAGACAGAGACAGACAGACAGACACACACACACACAGGCTCTGATGGCTTTCTACCTCACCACGATGACATCATCTGACTGTTTCTCGTTTCTGTTAGATGTACCATCAACTGGTTGGGGACTTCCGAAAACATTGTTTTTTTAATAGGAAAAAAAGAAAAAGAAAAAACACCGTTACATCAATGACGTTGCAGCCTGGATGTCAGGAAGATCTCAGCACGGGGACGAGGGATCTCAGAAGCCAGGACTGGTCCTTTTCAGCCCCGCCCGCTCCCGAGGCCCTGCCATCCCCAGGCACTGGTGTTGGGCTCTCAGATGGGGAACCATGGAGGGGCGGGGCTGCTGCCAGGAGCATAGAGCCATTCACCAGCATTCGCCCTTGGCCACAGCCTTCACCCTCTCCTGGGTCCCCAGGGGTGGATTAGTTGGGGTGCAAAGCCCCAGAGTCTGGCTCTGACAGTCTCCACCTGCACACCTGCCCTGCCACAGTCCTCTCCTTGAGAAGGAGGGCTGGGGCCAGGTTTGCCTTTCTCGCCCAGGATGCTGGCTGCACCTGTGAAGCCGTCTTCCACTCTCCTGGCAAAAGGCAGCTGCAGTCTTCCAGTGCACAGATATAAGTCAAAAGGATCTGTCCCCAGCTCCTGGCAAGACAGTGCCATGCACCTTGACCTTGGAGACATGCCAGGCGACCTGGCTTCAAGGTGGCAAAACAGAGAAGAAGGAAATAGTCAATGATTTCTCATTTTCATAAATATCACCAAGGATTTTGTTTCAAAGAATTTACTGATTTTCTTCCAGATTTAATGAAACTAGAAGAATTTTTTTTAAAGAGCTGGTTTGACTTAATGGAGAAAGCTAAAGAAGAAATGATTTTTAAGAGACAAAAAACCCCAAAACAGCAGCTAAGAAAGCAACCACCCAGAATAGCCGAACAGGGGGCAGGTGAGGGCACAGGACACCCCAGAGCCTGGCCACCGACTTCAAGGAGAATGCAAGAAGCCCTTAGAGGTCAAAACTGCAAACTCCCCAGGAGGCAGAGGCTCCAGGCTCTTGAGGACGCAGGCTGGAGCATCTGCAGCCCATCACGGACTGGGGACCATAGTCAGGGGGTTTGATGTGGCACCGCACATTCCACCCGCGGGCTTGGAGGCACCAAGGGCGGGTTGCGACACACAGTCGGCATGCTCACCAAGTCGTCCTGTCTCAGATTAACAGCAACATCAGTCATGGAGACTTTCAACCCTCAAGCTCTGTTTGAGGGGCAACCCCCACCCCATGGGGAAACAGCTGCTGGAGCCAATGGAGACTTCAGGCAGTGGGACAGTCGTTGGAGGCCATCTAGATACAAGCCCGGGCCAGCCTCCAAATATGGAAACATGAGGAGTTGTTATGAATTACAGCACAACAATACACGCAGGGAGATGGAGGACGTCCTGGGTTCTACAGTTGGCACCACCACTAAGGGAGCTGGCCCCAGGTCTTCACCTCATGGCTCTGTACCTAGAAAGCCAAGGTCCTCAAAGGAACATCACCCTTCTCCCCACTGCCCAGGCCTTCCCCACTTCTTGTCCTCGATGGCCAAATCCCTCCTCTTCTGAATAACTAATTCTCTCATTGTACCTTGGGAGAGATGAGTTTCTGCCTGCTCCATCTTCCTGTCCATTCAAGAAACAAGACCAGAGCCCAGCTCCCCACTGTAGGGTTCAGTGACACTCCTGCTATTTACTACTCCTTGGTCTGTGGAACCAAGAACTTGGGGGAGCTCAACATAGCTGACTTAATTTAAAAAACAACAACAACGTGGAAATGATATTCCAATAAACACAAAGCACCAGTCATCTCCAGCAAAGGAGCTGGCATGCCCAAACACAGATCTTCTGGCACGGCCACCCCTCATGCTGTCCCAGGGAGCTGGCAGCATCCGGCCCACAGCACTCCATCTTGATGTCAAGCTGTCATCACGGAGGGGGCAGAGGCTCTGTGAGCTGGAGACCACCTGCGTTTCTGAGCCTTGCAGAAGTTCCACTTGGGCAACTCCATCTAGAACCCAGAGGGATCTTGGCAGCACCCTGTCTCCTTACCCAAGAGCTTGCACAGCATGCTCAGAGAACAGGGATGCCCTGGTGCAAACAGAGCGACGCTGACCATACTTAGGAAATAAATCTTCCACCTGCCGGTGGGAGCTGGGGTGTGGATGGATGTGCCTATTTTTGTTTGAGATGAGTGGAGACAGCAGCTCTGCATTCCGGCATCATTTCACCCTGAGCACAAGGTCAACCACACACTCACGGAGCCCTATCCCCTTGTCAGGGTCTGCCTGATGTCACTTCTTCATGGAGTACTGTCCTTCCCAGGGCCTCACTTATGTCACTTCCTCTGTGCATAGCCTAGACCCCGCTAGTCTGGCTGGGTATTAGACCCCGCTAGTCTGGCTGGGTATTAGACCCACCAGAGCATCTTAGATACCCAGCCAAATCTTAAGGAGGGAGTCACATTGCTGTCCTGAGGAGGAGGGTACATGTCCCCTATCTACCAACTCCAACCCCCACAATCCTCAGTGTGAGTGGCTGTCCTGACCCCTCAGCTCCGAGCTGTGGAATCACCCATGCATGAAGCCATGTTGGCTTCCTTTCCAAAGCAATCCTGAGGAGGACTATTGGGAAGGTTTCATGAAGCCTCCTTCCAGAGGCAGAAAGAGGGAAAATCTGAGGGAGCTGATAAAAGCAAATTGGTGCCGACGTGTTTCCCAAAGCTATGAGCAACCTCCAAAGATATCACCTAGCGACCTAAGGATGGCGCTTGAGTCATCTTGTAACAACAAACGTCTAGAAGCAAACGTCATTTTACTCCTTTGGTGATAATGTCTACTGGATTCTGTAAATCAGTCACATTCTTATAGCTATTATGTTGTAAAGGGCCACCCACGTTGATGACTAAAAATTTTTAGCTGGAGGAAAAAATAACACTGATGGCACAGAGTTTAAATTCCATGGCAGAAGCTGAGCACCACGAGTCATGCTCCAGGAGAAGAGTTGGTGCCTGGTGCGGGGACCAGGCACTGCAGGGACTTGTGCTCATGGGGATCTGTGGCCACAGCACCAGAAGCCGCTGTCCCCAGGCTGACGTGAATGTCCTGTTCATTCCTCTTCTTCAAGGCCATCAGCCAAAATGCTGGCCTGAGTAAGAATCTGGGCAAACACCAAAAGAATATATTTAAGTGGGATGAACCCAGACCAGATCCGCAAGCTGCAGCCTCCAGACCTCGCTGGAAACTCATGCACTTCGTTTTTCTGAGGGAAGGGATTTCCCCACTTCTGCCTCTTTGACCAGGCTGCATTTTCTCTTGTTCTTTTTGGCAAGGAAAGAAGAATCTGAGGCCTCGTTAGAGCGCTGATAAATGTGCGGCCCTCTGCTGTCTCTGGGCCAAGGGTCTGCTGGGGGGCTGCTTGCTGACTCAGCAAGGCACACAGGAATTCTCCTCAAGAGAACAGCCCGTGGTCAGCGGCTTCATATTTGTGGTCACAGAGAAGCGCTGAAGGGAGTCTCTCTCTAATGAAGAGCAGCCGACACAGGAACATTTGTGAATGGGACCCTTTGGTGACTCGCAGGAAGCTTTTGCAAAATGCATCCCAGTCATTTTCCTTCGGTGTTCTCTGAGGCCACCTTGGAGTGCCTCTGAACCAGCAGCTTGGTATTCTTTCAGTGTCAGTAGCTGAGGTAGTTGCGGTGCTGTGATTTAGTAACCTGAGACAAATTGAAAAACAAAAGCGTACAGTACCCCCAAAACAGTGGGAGCTTCCTCAGCTCAGCCAGAGGGCTCTGTCAATAGTTCCATCTAAAACAGTGACACAGAGGAGAAGAGACAGGCAGGGTGACCCAATGGACAGGGGACACCAGACCACAGCTCAGGTTTCTCCTTTCCTTGGCCATGAACTTACACCTTAAGAGTCTAACAGTCCCCAACACAATACAGAGGAAGATCAACCCCCCAACCACTGATGACGCAGGTTTATTATGATGCACTGGGAGTGACCTCAAAAGATCCAACCACAACCAGGAAAAGGGACTCACGCTGGATTATGGCAAGCCTGAAGCCACTGTCCTTGAGACTCTCTGCAACACACAAGGGGTGGCCACCCACCAGCTCGCCAGCCAGCCAGGGCGTTAAGCTAGGCCACGCTGGGACAACTGCAGTGCCCTCAGCTGCTCCAACACACTCCAGGGAGCATCTCCAAGACCACCCTGGATCTGCGGTGACATCCACTGCTCACACTGAAGACCTTCCAGGCCCCATCGTCTCCGAAGACTCCATTCAGTACTGAACTCTGAGCTCATGAAGGACCACACTGAAAGCTAGACCAGTTCCAAAGACGGTCCCGAAGAAAAGCTCGGATTTCCCTGTGACAGCCTCCCAAGGCCAGCAGCCACCCCCAGGTCACTGCTCAGTGGCGCCTCAGTGTTGGAAGGAAGGAGCAGTTCAGATCCTGCCAGCCAGCCCCTGTGGTCCCCAGTGCCAGGGCACCAGCCACCCGGAACGTGGCCAGCGCCAAACAAGACCAGTGATGCTTAGTCTCGGGCCCGGGCTGCCCCTTCCCTTCTCCTGCGTGGCTTGGATTTTACCTTTGGATCATGTTGTCGTATCAGACAGAAGCCACAGAGTTGGAGCACGTTGAGGTGACCTCTTCCAGCATCTTATTTACTGAGTTACACTTTCATGCTCTGCACTGGCCTTTCATCAGGGCTTATTGCAAGAAGCTGTCATAAGAAAACAGCTCTTAAGTCTCTAGTAAAAACATCATTCAGGCCTTTTCTCCCTGTGTTATCTGATGCTCCATGGTTGAAATTCTTGTGCATTTTTATGTTAATAATTTACTGCCAGAAAACATTCAGTCAACTCTGAGGAACTTAAATCCTTTCTATTTTCTCATAATGGAAAACATGACATGAAATTTCCCGATTGTTTTTTCTCCGTCTCTGGAAAACTCCGAGTGACTGCTCCCTCCGAGGGTGCTGCCCATCCTGGTTCACAGGCTCTCTCCTGCAGCTCTCTAGGTTCTTGCTTTCTAATTTGTGTTGCTATATTTTTACCCTTTTGGGGTATGAACCCTATATCGCAGCCATCTTTTTTTGTGAACAGGTGACGTGTTTTTGAAGTAGCCATTAGCAGTAACTTCTTGCTGATGTAAGCAGTGCTGAGGACAAACCAAATACAAAGGAGGGGGCTCCCCAGTCCTCCTCTTCTGCTAAGCCGAGGAGGCAACCCTGCTGCTCCTGCGGGCCCTCCTCCCTCCAGCCCCTTTTCCCACTTTTCCTTCATCAGTGCCCCAAAGCATAATCCAGTTCACATGTGTCCATGAGCGGAGGTCCTGTGAGAGCGAGCGTGGCGAGCCTTTCTTCCATGGCCCCTGTACCAGGGGTTTGGGCTGAGGCAGGGGGCTGCTCCCACTGAGTGGTGCTGGTGGATTTCCCCTTGGCTGATCCTGCCCCCTCTGCCAGTGGGTTGCAGGTGTTCAGGAGGAGGTGAGAGCAATCTCTCAAATGCAATGCCCATCCTTCCTTGCAGCAAAGGCCAGTCCATAGACTGATCATTCTGTAAGACAGAATTTCTTTCCCTGAAAATATTACTATTAGTAAATTGCATCAAAATGATTGCATTCTTAGTAGATTGTGAAATGTCTTCAAGATGTGTTATTTCAGAGTCTGAATTTCAAAGAAAATTCAGGAGGAAAGTGGAATTAGCTCCTTCTTGAATTTCTATTAGCGTTGCATGGAAGGATGAATGCAGACTCCCACGGGGGACATCAGGGAAGGAGGGTCTAGGGATGGGAGAGAAAAGAAAACTCACTTTAAAACTCCTTCCTAAAAAGCCACATGGCAGTAGAAATGCTTCCTGTGGCTCAGCCTCCTCCCCGCTGGACCCACAGGGAGGGCCTCAGAATTTGATCGTACAGGGAATCCATCCAACAAGAATAGAAGATGGCTCAGGGAAGGAAGTCCCCCCACACACCACGGGGCCCTGGCGGGTAGTCATCCCAGCTCCCCCGCACAGGGCCAAGGTGGCCCCAGAGGCTGTGCAGTTCACACACACTCCCTATGCCCAAAAGGGTGGGATATGTTTTTTAAAGGAATTAAGCTCTGGAGGGAAAGTTGGAGAGAGCTCTAGGAAACTGGACTTCCCTGTGGGCCATCCGAGATAGGTGCCTTGGAGTGAGGGTCTGCAGGGGCGTCTTGGGGACAGACTACTAGGCCTGTTCTACCTCCTCCCAGCCCCTATCCCACAGGAGCAGCGAGAGCCCCCAGCTCTGGAAGGTTCTCCATGCCCTTGCCCACCTTCCCAGGCATCCTGACCAGGAGCCTCGTCCAAGGAGCTCCGGCCTTCCTGGGAGGGAGGGAAGACCTCGGACCTCACCGCTCACAGTGGAGTCCAACGAGGCGGCGCCAGGGGAGCAAGGCGTGAGGCGCCTGGCTTTGTGATCCCGGTTCCAGTGGCATTGAACAGATTTGATGGCTTCCCTAAGGACCAGTGTGACCTCTTGCAGTCTTGGTTCCCAAACACCTGCCTTACCTCAAGTGATTGTACAAAAAAGGAAAAAAAAAATAAGACAAGAGACGTACCTGCTGAAAACCTAAGGTATTACTGCTCACAGAGGTCCCTCTCCTGATGGAACCTAAGGCCTCCCAAGTCCTCCTAAGCTCTTCCTGTGCGTCTTCCCTGGCTCCTCTATCTCTCCCCTCCTGTGGCTGCCATGTTAAAATCACTCCTTCCCAGCACACACTCACACGCGTGCACACCCAAGAGCACTCGCTGACGGTGTGGCACTTCCTTATTCTCCTTAGCACCCAGCAGGAGTCAACAGTGTACATTTTTTACTTGGTTGTTTTGTATCCTGACCACCCCCTCCACGGAAGCTCATGAAGAAAGGAAGCTGCTGGCTCCAGGAGTCCCCCAGGCCCCACCCACTGCTGCACCTCCTCACCTAGAGCAGTTGGGCATGTGGCTGCCCTCAAGGAACGCGGCCAGAACAAATGAAGAAACTCCTGCAAGCCCTAGCTATCGGGTGCACCCTTGCTCCTGCAGTGGTCAGCCCTGGACCTCGGCTTGTTTTCTTTGGTTTTCTTGGTCATTGAATATTCTTGACCCGGAGAGACTTCATTATTTAGAATGAAGAGGCACTGCCTGAGAATCAGAGAGACCTCATTTCTCATGATCTCAGACCGCGTGAGACTCAGGTAATCCCTGAACCTTCTCTGGACAATCCCTCACTCAACTGTAAAGAGCAGTGATGAAAAAACAACCACTATCACTTTTGAGAACTTATTAACACTCACACATTGTGTTAATGACCCCCTGATTCCTCAGGAAACTCTGAATGTTGTTATTATGTTGATTTTACAGATAAGGAGGTGAGTTCTCAAAGACAGTGAATCCTCTAGCCAGGAGTCTCAGCAACGCAGCAGCGAAGCTGAGCTTCCAACCAAGGAAGGCATGCTCCAGTGTCCTCGTGGCTGTTCCTAGAGAAGAGGACTTCACAGGCAAAAGGAGGCATTTAGCTTATGCTCCTTCTGGCTTTAAGAATCTGTCTCTCCCCCCACTCATCTGGCCAATCACCCTGGCCAATCAGCTCTCCACCCACCGGTACCCCCAACTACCTATTATTCACTACCCTACCGGCTACCCGATGTCCACCCATCCACTCATCCACTCGTCTCTCATCCATCTATCCACCCACCCTCCCATCCATCCACCCACATACCCACCCATCTATCCATCCACACACCCACCCATCTATCCATCCACACACCCACCCATACACTTACACACCCACCCATCCGTCCACCCACCCATCTATCTCTTCATGCATCCACCCATCCATCCATCCATCCATCCACTCACCCACCCACACCCCCCACCCCTCCATGCTTCCATCAATCACTCTCTCACCTTCCTACCTGATGACCTCTGTGTGTGCATAACTTGGGTCAATCTGTGCTTCCAGCCAGAGAGCACGCTCACAGTGCATGTCCCTCAGACAGTCAGCTATTGGTGACATCTTTGTACTCAAGAACCATCCTGACTCCATTAGCTGTACCAATAACTTAGAATTTGAGATGACAGAAAATTGGCCTGAAAATGAACATGAAATTCAAGCAGGCAAGAAACACAAAAATTAAAGATTGGTGGGGGGTGAACTGTAGCTGTTTTCTGGGATAGACAGTGTGGGAACTGGCTGGGCCTTCAAATGTGTGCGGAACATCCACCTGTCTGAACGTTCTGTAGTTTAGAATCTGAGTGGTCACACACACACACACACACACACACACACACACACACTTCAGCTTACAGGGGAAATGCACACATGAACCCCTTCCGCGGGGTTCCAAGCACAGCGCTGCCCTTGAGCCTGCACGCATTCTCGGGGAGCCTGGCCTTGAGGAGCTCCTCTTGGAGGAGAGATGAACACATGCTCTCCTGAGAAGTCGGAGGGAGGGCAGGCAGAACACCCCAGGCACGGAGCAGAGGAGTCGCCAGGGCGGGAGGGCGGAGGGAAGCCGGCGAGGATTCAGGGGAAACTCAGCTCCTGCCGCCCTCACCTCCAGCCCCTTTCTCAGCTGAAGTAGGGCAGGAGCTGAAGGGCTGCTCCCAGAAGTCCCAGTCCCCAAAGTCAGGGCATGAGAGGACGTGGACACTCCGACCCCACGGGTGGACGCGCAGCCTGGCGTGGGTGTGCCAAGAGCTGCTGTGCCAGGCTTCTGGTGCTGCTCCCAAGTGCAGCCATTGAGCATGTGGGCAGGTGTTCTCCTGGGCTCCCACCTGCACTCCTCTAAGGACTGGGGTTTTTGACATCCTCGACTTTTGTCCCCTGGGCCTAACACAGAGGCCCTTAAAGGGCACGCTATAGATATGTACGGTGTTTCAGCCAGCTCCTTTTTAGCTGCTGTGACTAGAAGGCCCAACATAAACAATTTTAAAGGAGAAAAAGTTTATTTGGAGGCTCAAGGTTTCAGAGGTCTCAGTCCATAGAGAGCAGGCTCCATTCCTCGGGGCTCAAGGTGAGGCACGGCATCATGGCAGAAGAGTGTGGCAGAGGGACATTTCTCACATGATGATCAGAAAGCAGAGAGAGAGAGGGACACTCCACTTGCCAGATACAAAATCTATACCCCAAAGCCACATCCCAATTCCCACCTCCTCCAGCCACACCCCACCAGCCTTCAGCTACCCCTCAGTTAATCCCATCAGGGGGTTGATTCACTGATTGGGTTAAGACTCTGATAACCCAGTCCTTTCTCCCCCAAACCTTCTTGCATCGTCTCACACATGAGCTTTCTGGGAACACTTCACATCTAACCATAACATATGGACTTTGTTTGTTTTAAAAATGAGCTTGATTGAGATGTGCATGCCAGCTGTTCACCCAGGGCGTACGGTCCAGTGCGTTTGGAGCAGTATTCTAGATAAGGGATTTTAGAACATTCTTTATCACCTCAGAAAGAAATCCTGCACCTTTCAGCTATCAGGACCCAGCCCCTGAGCAACCTCAAACTACTTTCTTTCTTTACAGATTTGCCTACTCTGAGTACTTCCATATAAATGGAATCATACTGTATGTTTGGTTTTAACGACGGGCTTCTTTCTTTTCTTTAGCACGTTTTTAAGGTACTTCCGTGTCAAAGTCTGAATCACTACATCCCTTTTATGGCTGGACAGTATCTGAATACACAAACATACCCCAGCATATTTATCCATTCACTGATGGACATTTGGGTTGGACATACCTCTTGGCCACTGTTGGTAATGTGGCTATGAAGTGTACATATGAGTTTGTTGTGCGTTTGCAGAGTGGATCAGTGGGTGGTGCGCTAATTCTGTTCCATCGTTTGAGGAGCTGCAGGCTGTTTTCCAAAGTGGCTGCCCCGTGTTCCATTCCCTGCAGCAGCGTGTGGGAAGGGCTCCCATCTCTTACAGCCTCGCCAACACTTGCGACTGTTATGCATGTTCTGAGCGATGTTTGAGGGATACCTAAGATGGAGAGGTTCCCCGAGATGTAAGAAGTGAGTTCCGTTCCTAAGGTGGGCACCCCATGACTCATCACCCTCCTCCTTCCCCGCATATAGGAAAGTGATAGACGAGACTGCAGGTGTCCACCTTCTAGAGAATCCGCCAGCCACTGCTGTCTTTCCCCTGCCCTCACTTCTGACCCCATTGGGCCTTCCTTCCTGGCACCCTCCTGCACACTTGAAGCCTTCTTGTTTTGAATCTCTCTATGCATTGGGCTGGTCAGTCCTGACCTGGACTGTCACCAGCACACAGAAGACACAGGCAAACACACAAACGCACTCAGCTCCAACAAAGTGGACTTCTGGCCTGACCGAGCCCCACTCCCCACCTCCCATGGACACACCCACGAGTGGAGAAAGAACTCCCCAGCTTCCTGCTGAGGAAACAGGTGAGCTTGGCTCTGCCTCTCAGAGGTCAGCACGTGGGCGGGGTGGGGGGAGGGCAGACTCACGTTTCCTTTTTAGCCCACCCAGTGAAAATCAGAAAGTGATGTGGATTGAATTATTTTGCAGAAGGAATTCAAACTTTCAAGGTATTAATATTGGCTTAAACTGGGTACCATGTTTGCCTTTCTAAAAACCATTACCACTGATAGAATTCTTTCTCAATGGAATTACCATTGACCTCTACTCAATTAATCTGTTTGCATTGACAAAAGTCCCAAAGGAGCGTTGCCTGGTGCCCTCACGCCTGGCCCCACATTGACCAAGGCCCCTGCAACTGAGCTGTACCAGCAAAGGGAGGGCTTTAGAAACAAAGAGCCTGGTCCTAATCCATGAGAACACTGCACCACGGCATTTCCCAGGGAGGATCCTTCAGGGCAGTAATTCCGTAGGACCATAATAGGTATTAAATAACAAAAGAGCCCTGTGCGTATGCAAGCTTATAAATCACTGATTAAACACAGTTTAAGTAGGTTTATTTACTGCAGTTTTTTGTAGTTTTTAATACTGCAATGTGAATTATGAATCTCCAGGAGGAGAATATGATATGTGATGTTTCCCAAATTCATCTGACTACAGAAACCATATGTTAAAGAATGCCTAGTAGGACTGTCTTCACTGAACACACTCTGACACTGTGTTACATACCAGTAATAGAAACTGGAGACTATTAAAGTTCATGGCCCTTTCCAAGTGAGAAGATGGAAGGCCTGTAGCCCAAGTGCTCAAATCTCAGTCCAGCTGTTCCATTCTGATTATATCACATATAATATTTATGACATAAATCTATTGCTAGAATAATATTAATGCACTGATTTTGTAAACTCTGGGGGGTAGGGGTATACAGAGGACTAAATCCAAGGGTGCTCTGTCACTGAGCTACATTCCTCAACCCTTTTATTTTAATTTTGAGATAGGGTCTCACTAAGTTGCCAAGGCTGCCTCCAATTTGCAATCCTCCTGCCTCAGCCTCCTGAATCACCATATGCATTATGTACAATACAGTTCTATTGCTTGAACGATATTGTTGCATGAGTTTGTAAACTTCATGTGGAATTACTATGTTTATATATGTTCTGTTTCAAACACCATGTTCTATAATAAAATCATTTGCTCATTTTTCAGTATTGACCTCTCCTTCTCCACTTTTCTACAATATATTCTAGAGTATTCTGTCCCTGGGATTTCTGCAGTGCTGTTCACAGAGCGGAACTTGGGAAAGAGACATTGTGACCTGCGTGCCCTGGTCACCGGCCTGTAGAGGTCATTCCCAGGAAGAGTTGGCAGACGACAGACGCAGACCAAGAGCTTCACTTCCCTAGAATAGAGAGGCAAAGCTAGGGGCCTACGCCCTGTTCGCCAGTGTGGCCCCCAGTGGGGCCCCAGGGCAGGGACATCAGACGTGTCCCAGCAGGTCCCAGCCTGGCCAAGAGAATGGCTCCCGGTTTTGATCAACCCATAATATCCATGGGAAGCAACATGGAATTTTGTTAAATTCATGAAACTGACAGATGTCACAAAGCTGGGCGGGAAGTTCAATGCAGCACACACCTACACTGGTTTCCTGGGCTGCCACAGCAGAGTGTCTCAACATGAGACAGCAGAGGTGTACTCTGCCACAGCTCCAGAGGCCACAGGCTGAAATCAAGCTATCCGCAGGCCCAGGCTTGCTCTGAAGGATCCGGGAGGATGTGTCCCTGTCCTTGCTTCTGCGCTTGCTGACATTACTAGAATCTCACTCCTGCTCTGCCTCCTCATCGCTGGCATTACTCCTGTCTCTGGGCTCAAGCCTTGTCCTCCTCCTCCTCCTCCTCCTCTTCCTCTTCTTCTTCTTCTTCTTTTTTTTTTGGTACCAGGGACTGAACTCAGGGGCATTCGACCACTGAACCCGGTCCCCGGCCCTATTTTGTATTTTATTTAGAGACAGGGTCTCACTGAGTTACTTAGTATCTCGCCATTGCTGAGGCTGGCTTTGAACTCGTGATTCTTCTGCCTCAGCCTCCTGAACCTCTGGAATTACAAACATGTGCCACCTTGCCTAGAAGGCTTCTCTCTTCTTTAAGGACACCCATCTTTGCTTTAGAGCCCACTGTACCCCTGTGTGACCACATCTTAACTTGATCCCTCTGCAAAGACCCCATTTCCAAAAAAAGGCACAGGTGCAGGGAGTTACAACTTGAACATGTATTTGGGGGGGATATTACTTGACTCAGTACCATAACCAAGAACTCTAAGAACCTCGACAACAAGAACAAAAGAGGAGACGTAGAGGAAGAGATGTAATAGTGATCATTGAAAAGCACGCACGTGGCTCAAAACACACCTACACACCAACAGTGAAAACATCTGACCAAAAGAGGCATGCGTGTGCAGAGCTGGGCCCTCGGCTGACCACAGAGCTCCTATGGGATGAACTACAATGGTCCATGGCACTGGCTGACAATGCCCGTGTGGCCTGAGCATGGCCTCCAGATGCAAGGCCATGGTCACCTTGGCTCCACGGTGAAAGGTCAGATCCAAAGTGCAAGTTTAGCTGGAACACCAGGCCTTAGGACAGATACCGTGGGCTGCAGAGGGCTCAAAGGACGTTTCTGGGAAATGTTTGAAACCCACAATTCTTGAGAAACAGTGTTAAGAACTGACCATGCCATGGAAGGGAGGGGAAGTCAAGACTGCAAGAGAACCAGAGACCCCCTCTTCCTGCTTAGCAGGCACACAGCAAGGCTTGGACCATTTCCTGTGGCCACAGATTCAGGGCCAATGGTAACAGAGATGTGAAGGTGGGTTCATATGCAACCCAGTTTGGGAGCGGTTGAAATTCAGCAGGCTTGCAGGGGGTGATGTCAAGAGAGCGCCATCCCCGGAGCCTGGCATAGTCTTGATTTCAGGATGAATAGAGCATTGAGATGCAGCTGGGGTCCCTTCTCCTTTCTCTTGGTGCTGCTGCTCCACACTTCCAGACTCTGAACCCAGATGGACATCCTGGGTGCCAGACTCAGAATCCAGAGAGGAGGGGCGAGTGGAGAGGAATGATCCACAATCCACCATCAGTACCCGTGGCTGCTGGGAAACTCATTTGCAAATTCAGCTGAAATAAGCGGAATATCCAACCCCAACCTGGGGTGTGGGAATGGGAGGGGATGAGCAGGAGTGGGCGTAGGGAGAACGGAGGAGGGACCCCCTGTGGGCACAGGTCGCCAGCCCCTTCCAGGAGTTCCACGGTGCTGCAGATTATGGAGAGCTCTGAAGACACACATACAAATGCAACTTGAGTTTTTGAACTTTAGTGGGTGTTCCCCCATATTTTCACTGATGCATGATAGCTGCACATCGCAGTGGGACTTGTTTTACATACTCATGCATATGCACACGATGTGATAAGAGGCTTTGGCCAACATCCCTTCCCATTGATTCCCGTCCCTCCACATTCCCATCAGGTGGGGATATTAACCCTCCATCCTCTTTCCCTCCCCTCTGCCCTCCCCATCTCCCTTGGGTTTTCATGAGGTCCGCCTCCTTCTTTCTTCTCCTTTTTCCTCTCTATCTGCTGTGTATGAGAGACAACATGTGGCCCTTGATCTGCTGAGGTTGACTTATTTTGCTTAACACGATGGTATCATTTTCCTGCAAATGCCATAATTTCATTTTTCTCTATGGCTGAATAAACTGCGCTGTGCATGTATACCACTTTTTCTTTATCCATTCATCAGTTGATGGATACCTAGGACTGGTTCCATGATTTGGCTCTTGTCAACTGTGGTGCTCTCAACCTGGGTATGCATGTATCACTGCAGAAAGATGACTTTGATTCTTATTATTGCCAAGGAGTGGTACAGCTGGGCCATATGGTGGTTCCGTGTCTAGTCTTTTGAGGAGCCTCCATCTCTTTAGTGGTTGTACTGATTTACAGTCCCACCAACAGTATAAAAGTGTTCCCTTTTCTCCATATCCTCTCTAGCATTTATTATTATTTTTATTCTTGATGATTGTCATGCTGACAAGTGTGAGATGAAATCTCAATGTAGTTTTGATTTTTGCATTTCCTTAGTTGTTAATGATGTTGAACATTTTTTCATGTATTTATTTGTCATTTGCATTTCTTCTTTAGAGAAGTGTCTGCTTAGTTCATTTGCTCATTTATTAATTAGATTGGGGAGTGTTTTTTTAGTTCGTGTTTAATTATTTTCTTTATTTATATTTTATTTATTTTTATATGGTGCTGAGGATCGAACCCAGCGCCTTGCAAGTGCTAGGCGAGCACTCTACCGCTGAGCCACAACTGCAGCCCCCATTTAAAAAGAAAGAAAATCAAATTTTTCTTTCTTTAGATTATTCTATTTAATTATACATGACAGCAGAATGCATGTCAATTTATTGTATACTGATAGAGTACATTTCAATTCCCTGGTTGTACATGACATAGAGTCACACCATTCGCGCAATCCTATGTGTGCCTAGTGTAATGCTGTCCGTCTCATTCCACCATCTTTCCTGCCCATGCCATCTCCCCTCTCTGCCCTCCCCTGCCTAGTCCAATGTTCCTCCATTCTCCCACCATTTGGGGATATTAACCATCTCTCAGAAGAGTAGCTAGTAAAGATCTTCTCACATTCTGTAGGTTCTCTTTTCATATTCTTACTTGTTTCCTTTGCTGTGCAGAAGCTTTTTAATTTGATGCCATCCCATTGGTTAACTCATGGCATTATTTCCTGAGCTTTAGGGACTCTATTGAGAAGGTCATTGCCTGTCCCTATGTGCTGGAGTGTCCGCCCTACGTTTTCTTCTAGGAGTTGCATAGTTTCTCGTCGAAGTCCCAGGTCTTTGGTCCATTTTGAGTTGATTCTTGTGCAGGGTGAGAGATGAGGGTCTAGTCTCATTCTTCTACATGTGGGCAACCAGTTCCCCAGGCCCGTGCATTCAAGAGGCTGTCTCTCCTCCTGTGCCTATGCATGCTAGCTCGTCACTGAGCGAAGGCCATTGTCTCCCTCTTATCTGTTTCACATACTGGGATTCTGGATAAGATTTTGGCTTGCTGTTTGCATTTTTTGTAAGCCATCGGGTCATAGAGAATCTCCATCTAAACATCTGGAATGAAGGACATTAAGTACACAGTGAGGAACAAGTGAAGGAGGGCTTGAGTGACATCCTGCAGACGGTGCAGATGGCTCCTGAAGATGTGCACTGCAGAGAAAAGGTGTCGGCGGAGTCTCTGGCCTCGTGTAGAGCCTCTTGGAGGCAACCTGGAGGTAGGCCATCCTGCCATGCCCTCTGGCCTGGACATGCAGGCTCTCAGGAGGGGAGGTGTGCTGCGCAACCACCAGGAAGTGGCTGGCCATTTTGAATCCCTCACTTTCCAACAAGTGGTCATGGTGACACCTGTGCGCTCACAGCAGGAAACTGACCTCCCTGCAGTGCCCTTCTTTGAAATGTTGTCACTTGCTTGTTGACCCTTTGGCCTTCCTAACCCATCTGTCCCTTTCTCTCAGGCGTCTCTTCCAGCCGAAGCAGCCACATTCCCAACTCCCAGCAGCAGACCTTCGCCTCGGGCCTGGGCCAGAGAGTCCACAGCTGGCTGCTGGCATTGGCTGAGCTGCTCACTCAACCCAAAGGCCCTCCTGCGAGGACAGCAAGCTGGCCGCAGCTCCAGTGCATATTCCTGCAGTTCAGATGTGTATTGCCTGTGGGTCAGAGAAGGAGGGGCAATCCCCTGACCTAGGGGTTGGGGAAGAACAGACCAGCCCCTGCCAGGGGCAGTCACTGCTCAGGACGGGCGTTCTGGAAGGACATGTGCCTTGGCCCTACACACGCACACCCTTTGTTCTACTCATCTGGCTCCTGCAAACTGACCTCAAGGAGCCTTTCCTGGATAAGGGACACTTCATCCACCCTACATAGCCTGCTGCTACTTCTCAGGAGACTGAGCCAGATTCAGATGCTAAATAGCAAGGACCTTGTCTCACTCTTGGAGGTCCTTCCCCCACGGTCATCTCAGGTGAGAAGACCAGTAAGTGCTCCTTCATTGTTTGACTATTAACTTGATGAGAGGGTTTGGGGTCTGGACTCTGAAGACCTTCGGGGTCACTCACCAGCTGCCTGGCTGTCCTGGGAGTGCATTCAGTTGCTGATGCACTCACCATCTGCTGCCTTGTCTGTGGCCCCAGCTGGGGAGTCCGGGATGCTTAGATGAGATGCTTAGACAGCAAGGCTTAGCACATCCCCGGTGGCACTAGGCCTGAGCACCTGTCCTGGCTCTGGGTAGCCCAGGACTGGCTCTGGGTAGCTGCCATGCCTTCCTGCTCACTGACATCTAAAACCAGGAGTCAGCACACTTGTGCTGGAAAGGGCCAGGTATTAGAGGTTTCAACGACCCCCCTCCGAGCAACCAGCCACAGTCAATTTGCAAACAAGGGGCATGGCTGCATTCCCAGGTGGGTGTTTGCCAAGCCGCACTTTAGATTAGCTCTGAGCCGCCCTCTGAGGTGGACGCTTCCCCTTCCCTCCCTCCCCACACGTCCACGGGCTCCATAACTGCGTCTCTCAGGGGCACAGGATTTGTGCTGCACATAGGGCTGCCCATAAAATTCAAGCCTCTAGTCAAAGTTGAACTTCAGAGAAGCAATCAGTAACTTTAAAGTTTGCCCCTTATCCTTAAAAGTATTGACGGCTTATATGACATTCAAATCTAACTGGGCATTCTTTTTTCTTCTCCTCTCTCCCTCTTTTTAATCTAGATCTGCCAGCCCTAGGTGTGCATCCCCTGGACCTGGGAAGCCCAGTTGGAAAGCAGAGCAAGCGTGGATGCACAGAGGTCCCTGAGAGCAGCCCTAGAGAGGGGCTCTCTCCCACAGAGCCGCATTGCTGGTTCAGCAGGGCTAAAAGGGGCAGGAGGAAGGTCAGCGTGGGAGACGGGGCAAGGCCTGAGCTCCTGGGACTTCATGGAACGGTGCTCTAGGGATGGGAGCCAGGCCGGGCCACAGAGCCAGCAGCCTCAGGTGACCCCAACTGGCCCTGCCTGCCCGAGACAGGAGCCAAGGACACGCTGCACAGTCCAGCCCCAGATGCTGAGCAAGGCCATGGTCTCATGGCATCCGGTTCCTTTACACATCACCCTCAGCCTTTAGTCTTCGTGTAAGGGAGAAGGAAAACAGTGGACATGGATCCCTGTTCTCCATTAATGGCTCACCTAGTTACCTCAGCCTGATAGGCCAGGGGCTGGACACCACTGCAATGCTTAATGGATCACCAATACGTTAATAAACAATGTTTGACACAGAACGATTCATTCCATAAGTATGAAATTTAACTTTCTAGCAGCTGTAACAATATTGTTGAGTGGGGGCTATTATAACTCTTCCGTGGGGGAGGCTGAGGCCCTGGGAAGGTATAGCTGGACCTGGGTGAGGCAGGTTGGCATTGGAATCAAGAAATTCCAGCCGCGAACCTGGGCTCACTCAGCACAACGTCTCTCTCAAAACTGGTGTAAGCATGGGAAGTCCTCTTCCTCAGGTTGGTTTCAACATGATATTCGCTTCTTTTTGTTAATTATAGAAAAATTTTGGAGGTGTGAAATAAAGGGAAAAACTAGCACCAAGTGTAATAACTTGTTACTTTGTGGCATCGTATTGCTGTCTAGAGTGTTTTCTACGCCCAGGTAGATGTGTACACAGACTCACACAGGCATATATACTGAAAACTCTAGTTAAGTTGTATTTATTTAGCAAAGTGGAAGCCCTCTCCTTCACTCTTTAGGAGGTGCACTTGGTGCCCCAGTTGACTCTGAAGGATGCTGCTCTCGTTAGAGCCACAGCACTCTGTGAGGGCACAATTTCCCAGGCTGCTGGATGGTGCCCAGGACTTGGTCGAGGTTTGGAAATGCTAACAGACGCATGGCAGCCCTCAGCCATACTGGAGAAAGCCTTTCCTGGCCACCATGGGCCTCCATGTCTCGCCCCTCCAGGCAGGGTGTCGGAGGAGAGCAGAGCAGGCTTCCCCGGGCAGTGATGGCCAGGCCTGCCAGGTCATCTGGTGAGATCCCCCTGCCCCCTTATCAAGTCACCGGTGCACTTGGCTCAGTGGTGGCGCCCGCTTCCTGCCCAGTTCCCTAGACCAGCAGTGTCCCCCACCCCCCCCACCCCCGTCCAGTGTTGTTTCTCCTCCAGCCCCAAGTACTTCTCCGAGCTGGATGTGAGCAGAATGAGCTGACTTTAGCCGGCCCACTTGGTGGTAGAACAGTGCATCCTCTTGCTCCAAGGCGGTGGGACTCCATGGGAATGAGGCAGAGAGGAAATGTGCACAGTCGCTGGTCTTTGGCAAACATCCCCTCTGCACAAGAGTCACTCAAACTGTGTGCTTGTCTGGCCTCTTCTCAGTGCCTGCGGAGCAAAGGCCACAAGGGGACAGCCACACTAGGCACTGTGCAGAAAACAGGAGCGTCCATTCCCATGTGCCTGTCACCTTTAGTCCTGAATTCCCGTTTGCTGATGACAAGTAGAGACCAGGACAATGGGTGGATGGGTGGGTGGGAGAGAGAAGAAATGGGCCGGAGAAACAGCTGGGGAGGAGAAGCTGCTTGGATAGTAAGTGCTCGCCCAGACCACTTGATGCAGAGCAAAAAGATATGCAAGGATCGGCAGGGGACCGAGGGCCACGTGTGTCGGCCGGCCGTCATTCGCTCTTTCACCCGGCACTCCGCAGGCTCTGGCCCTTTGGCAGCTCGTCGCAGACGCAGCACAGGCTAGTTCCTTCTCCACAGCCGCTTCTCCCAAGTTCCCGAGACCCCCCCTTCCTCATCCTGCCTTTCAGCAGGCACAACTCTCCCTGTGCGCTCACCTGAGAAGACAGCTCTCCCACTGAACCTCAGGCCAGCAGCCGGCTGTGCAGCCAGACCACACCACTCAGAGACTGACCCACTTCTACCCCGCCTCACCTCCACGTGTCCCCACAGCTCAGGGCGCCTGGAGCAGTGGGAAGCCACCTGCTGCCCAGAAGCCAAGCCCTGGAAGGTAAGTCCCCTGCTGGTGGCAGTTGAGATATAGGGGTGCAATCCCACACTGTTCTTCACTCTCCTCTTCCCCAGGGTCAGCCACTGCCTCCCCAGGGGGCCCAGGGACACTCAACCCAGTTAAAACCAGCACATCCCTCTCCACGAACCTCACCCCGAGGTCTCTGGACAGAGGTGCTGCCACACAGGCCATCTGGTTCCTGCTCAGTATGTCTGCGGAAGCCCCGCGTCTATTTGTCTGACGGGTTCCAGAAGGAGCCGTGGGGACGAAGAAGTGTCTAAGGCAGAAAAGCTGCAGGGCTGCCCGATGTGCTGACTGTACAGTAAATCTCTCCACTGTTTACTTCATAGATGGAGTCTGGAACAAATCGCAATATTTAATGCACAATTATGGCTTCCATAAATTGTTCCCAGATGGCTCCAAAAAACAGCCCTAAGTGGAAACAAGAAATGATCAGATTTTAATGAATGTTTGTCTCCTTTGCCTTGTTTCTTTCATAAATTCTAATTGAATCTGTGGTTCAAGAAGTGCGTCAGCTGCAGGGCTGAGAGTGCGTGGCAGGGTGCACCCGAGTGCAGGCAGCACAAGACACACACACACGTGTTTGAGTCCTTAAATGCAAATGGCACGAGTGCGCGTGGACGAGCGGTGTGCACACTTCAGCAGGTTCTGTGCTCGGAGCACTGTGCAGGTTCTGGGAGTCATGATGCTCCTCACAGCTGTGTAAGAGGACGTTCTCCCACGTCTTAGATGAAAAATTGAGGCTTTGAATAAATGAGAGAAGGAAGTAACTTGTCCTCCAAGAGGCAGCAAGTGCCCACTTCCATGAGGCCCGGGGCCACAGCCTTTTCCCTGGGCCACTCTGCCTTTGCCTAGAGGTGACCCACATATGGAACAGACGTCCACATGGCAGCAGTTGCCGGGTGAGTGTGCACCCACGGGAGCACAGGGCGGCCCTGCACCCCAAGCTGCTTCCCACTTGGCCTTGAACCCAGGCTCTGGGGGAAGCACCCGTTCGCTGGCTCCCCAGGCTGCGGTCACGTTAGTCAGGGTCCATCCTAAGAGATGCCTCTCCTGACCCTCTTGGGTCCCCTGGTTGAGGCAGCTGCCTCTATTAGATAACTGCCTATTGCGCCTTAAAGCACAAACTCCCAGAGGTCAGAGCCTCAACTGTCCTCTTCCTTGCTGAGTCCCTGATGCCAGGAACTGAATTGTTTGCTCAGTTAATAAATGGGGAATGTTCATCTCTCCCCTGCTGTCCACTACACCTGGCAACCTCTCGGGGTGCAGCCTCAGACACCCCTCCCTATGGTCCTTGGGCCCTCCCTTAGAGAAGCACTGATTGAGACCAGGCCTTGTCCTCCCTGACGCCCAAGTCCAGCACGCAGACCCTCTGTCTTTCACTGCTGATCCACAGGCACTGGAGGGAATGGCCTCACGGGCCCGAGCCTCGTGGGCACTAGCCCCGCGGACCCGAGCCTCTGTGTAGAGATCTTGCACACTGGCTCTTGGTCCCTGTGGCTCCCTGAGGGACCAATTACACCCCCAATCAGCAGAGGAGGACAGCCCAGCTCCAAGAGGATAAGGGACAAGTCTGAAGACGGCCTGCCCCGATGGTCCCAGAGCAACAGCCAAGATGAACCTGATTTCACCCCAACGCCTGCTCTGTTTGCCACACCTGCTGCTATATTGAGTGAGTTGGCTGTGTCATGTCTGTCCTGTAGGTGCCAGAAAACACAACAGGATACAGAGCAGACAGCAGACCAAGCATGTCAGAGCAGGACACTGAGACAGGACACTGCATCAACATTACTAGTGGCAAAACCCAGTGCCCAAGAGCACTCACCTGAGCTCAGGTTCAGACAGTGCCAACCATTCCATCCAGGCTCCTTGGCCCATGCCCCACACACGTGTGTGATTGGTTATTAGTGTCTGTGCACTGCAGACACCAGGACGCAGGCAGTGTTCTCAGCCAGAGGGGAGGAGTGGCCCCCACCTGGTTTAGTGCGACATGATTTGAACAGGATGTGCCTCCATCTCAGAGCAGGTCTCTACCGCCAACCCACAAGCCTAGCACTCACCAGGGTAGCACCCGGGAGGCAAGGACCCAGGAGGCGCCTAGGCAAAGGCCAGGTACCTTAGTCCATTATCTGTTGCTAATAACACGAGACAGAATGGGCAAGTTATGAAGAGAAGAGGTTTTACCTTGACTCATGGTTCTGGTCCAAGGTCTCAAGGAGCTGCATCTGGCGATGGCTTGTGGACGGCGGAGTACGGCGGTGGTGCCGTGCATCGCACCTGAGAGAGGTGCCAGTGGCTGAGCCATATTGGTTTTTATAGCAGACCTGCTCTCAAGATCGTCCACTAATCCATTAATCACGTCATGGGTTAATCCACTCATGAGGGCACAGCCCTAACCACCTCTTGAGGTCTCACCTGGTGCCACCTCTCACGGTGTCCCAGGGTGTTAAATTTCAACAGGAGTTTCACAGAGGAAAAGTCATGACCAAGCCACAGCAACAGCATGCATTAGCCACAGAGGCCACCACCATGTCCTTTCTGTTCTTCAGAGTGAGCAGCCTTTGCTCTGCCAGAGAGGAGCCCACAGTCCTGGGCAGTGGCCACTGGCTGCCCCTCCCTGCTGGGTCTCCACAGTGAGAACTAGTGCCACACTCAGGGGCAGGGTCTGGCACCAGGAGTGTAGAGAGGGACCCGCTGCTCTTCAGCCTCCAGTCTCATCCCTCAAACCACCAAGGAGCACGGCAAACACAACAGGTGAGTCCTCCCTTCTGTGCTGACTTCCAGCCACTGCCCTCTGGCTGGTCAGGTGGCCCCTCTCCTGCACAGCCTCACCTTGCTTCCTACCAGCACAGGTGTCTGATTTGTGACCACAGTTCCAAGCAGGTGCTCAGCCAGGGCAGGGGTTTTGGGCTCAGACAGGTTCTGCTTCTGCAGGACTAAATAGTGAGCCCCCAAATTCCAGGACCGAGCAGTATCTGAAAGAAGGAGAAAGGAAAGAGCCAATCAGGCCAGCTGTTAGTGATGTGGACTTCAGCAGGTAGCCCTGGCTCCCTGTTGCTGAGCACGTGCAGACTGCAGCAGCCCCCTGGAGGAGGTGCTGCTCGGGTCATTCCCCTTTTACAGACCATGAAACTATGGTTAAAAGAGGACACATGACACAGGCAAGAGGCCTCATCAGCAGGTAGTAGAGGTGGTCAGTTTGGAGCCCTGACATCCGGCCACCCAGAGTGTGGTTCTCAACCAACAGAATATGCACCTCTGGGAGTTTGTTAGGAATGCACAGTCTGGGGCCCACCTAGACCCCCAGCATCAGAATCTGCTACTGAACAAGATCCCAGGTGTTGTGCATGCATATTGAGGAGGGAGACGCTTTCCCAAGAGTGGGACTCCAGAGCCACACTCCAGCCAGCCCACACCAGGAGTGCAGAGAGGGACCCGCCTGCACATACCTACTAACCAACTGGCTTCCTCCTCTGGTCCTCCAGAGCCCTGTCATGCACATTGAAAACCCGCTTGTGAAAGGCACTCCGAGAGGTTCTGGGAATGCAAATGATGTGAAAATAGTCTTTCGGCCTAAAATCCATGTTATTCAAAGTGGGACAACAATAGAAAATACTCTCAGCTAAAAGTAATTACCGAATAAGAAACTATAGTGACGTATTTAGGGTCATCGTTGTCTGACGCAGACTCCAAGAGAAACACAGGATTGCCTCTTGTTGATTTACTGCGAGCTACAGAAGCACCAGCCATGGCATTTGGAATTTTAAAACATGCTTCATGTGAGTGCTGGAAAGTGACGGAGCTTTGTGACAAATTAGAATGAGGAGGAAGAGGAGGAGGAACAACATCCCAGGAAACCAAGAAGACAGAGTCCGAGCAGCCTTCTTGAGAGCCAAATAGGGGCCGCGGTGAGCGCCCAGGTGAGCAGGGTGCCTGTGCCCACTGCAGAGCAAAACGCACGTCCACCAACCCAAGCCGAAACAAAGGAACACTGGAGTGGGCACGGAGCCCCTCCTTACCGTGGAGTCCAGTTAGCACACACAGGAGTGGAAAGCAGACCCCGAGTCCCGGCCACTGCCCAGCCCACAGTACAAATGGCTGCAGGCAAGAACCTTGGAGGGTGCTGATGTCAGTGGGCAAAAAGGCTAATGAGGAAACCAGACACTTGAATATTCTTTTTTAATAATTATTTTTTAGTTGTAGTTGGACATGTGGTGCTGAGGATCGAACCCAGGGCCTCATACGTGTTAGGCCAGCGCTCTACTGCTAAGCCACAATCCCAGCCCTTGAATATTCTTATCTCCCCACAGATGATTATTAAATACAAAGGAAAGGCAGTAACAGTGGAGCACCCTGGCAGGTGCCACCCTCGCCACGTAGGCAGGGCTAACCCTAGCAGGGAAGGAGCATGCCAGCACATCTACCCCAACAGGGTGCGCTGCACATACAACAGCACATTTGTGATGTTCTTGCCAAAACACTTAATCTTAACCTACTGAGAAAACAGGGAAACCAAACTGGGGCACATTCTGTTAAAAAAAAAAAAAAAAAAAGCAAGACAGTACTCTGAAAAATAGCATCGGTGTCATGGGAAGCAGAAACTGAAGAACTATCCCCAGTTGAGAGGAGAAAGGAAGGACCACCACGTGGGACCCTGGCTGGGTCCTGGAGCAGGAAAGGAGCTCTGGGGATGAGGGGTGGACTCTGAGCAAGGCCCATGTGTGGTCAACGGGCACATCAACAGGGTTAGCTCATGAAGAAGGATGATCCTAATACCTGGAGACTCAGGGAAAGGATTCAGAAAGTCTGAATAGTATTTTTGCAGTACTTTTGAAGGTCTAAAATTATTAAAAAGTATGAGTTTAAGGAAAATGTGCTTCACGCGCACAGACTCCAAGCTGCCAGTGAATGCCCTCGGGGCCTCGTGCAGTGCCGGGCACGTCAGGCAGTCGGGGAACTGCTCCAGGAGCGCTTATGGAATTGTTGGAAATTAATTTGAATTATGCCATTAAACAGATGTGCTCCATGGGGCATGGACAACTTTTTATGTCGTAAATGTCTAACCTGCTGCCGAATCAGATGGCATCAAATTAATTACACGCAGTTATCAACGGATGTGACATAACAAGCCATGGCACCTCCATACATCACGGCGAGTCACGGCAGAGGCGCTGCCAGGCTGGGGAGGGGCTCTTCACAGCCCCTGGATCAGACCCAGCTTGACGGGGCATCTGACAACTCCACCACATGCCCACACCACAGTCCTGTGCTCGAAAACTTGAACATGAGCTGATTACACCCAAACAGAAGAGATCTACATCCAACATCATGGGAATTGGCTAACAAAACCTCACGGTTCCCACTGGGAAAACGCCAGGTGTGTGCCGTGTGCGTCATTCACACTCAATCCATTTACAGAGTGCTGTGTGTTTAAGTGATTATAAATGTGTGTGAATGTTCTATTCAAGATATGAAAGAATAAGACTTGTGTTAATTAATGTAAGGACAAGTGATCTAGAGAGAGAAAAATACTAAAAAAAAAAAATTCCGTTAAAGTTTAGAGACCTCGGAGGTAGCACATTATGCTTTTATAAAACCAAGAGAACAAGAAAAACAATACTAAGATTTGTTCTGTTACCATAACAATCACTCTTTCAAAACTATTTCTTTCTTGGTTTAGGTGACACCACAGATCACTCAGGTCCTGAGTTTTGTCCTATCAGGGAACATAACACCGTGTGAAGCCAGGGTCAACCTTCTGAAGGCCAGTGTTCCGTCCCTACAGCTAAATGGGAAGAGCGGCAGGCGTAGGTCTCAACGAATATTTTTTTGAATGAATAAATACTGAGATGGTTGAGAAGAGTCATACCTACCTTTGTTGTTGGAGTAGGGTTCATACATTGGAAACTGACACGAAACCAATCTATGAAAACTAAAATCTTCAACCTGAGGCAGGACGTCGGCCCTGACACAGACGGACTGGACAGTCCCCTGGGAGTCTGGTTGACAATGGCCGCCCTTTCATCTCCTGTCCTACCCCCCTCCCTGCTTCCTCTCCTTGATCACACCTGTGGGTTGTCAGGCGTGCTCCTCTGCCCAGCTGTGACCTGTGCACCCCGGACTGGCAAAGCCACAGTTGGAGGCCCTGGGCAGGTGCAGGGGAACTCTGCCTCCTACTCCAGTGTGAACTTTAGGGTGTGCTGGGAACCGAGGCACAAGGAGATCGGGTGGACTATGTAGCTCTCCAGGAAACACGTGACCTTCACTAAGCGATACCAACCCGCGAGGCTGCTCTGACAGAACCAGTGTCCCCAGGAATACCTGGCAAACCCGCTGCTGAAAAGCCCGCAGCCCCCAGCCCCACGGGGCCAGGCTCGCCAGCACCAGCCTGCCTGGAACTGGGTGCAGAGGACTGAGAAGCTGCTGCAGAGGCCGGAGGGGTGGTGAGCACTGTCGTCCTGGGTCCCAGGCACAGCAGCAGGAACGAGGAGCCCAGGACACCGGCTGGGAAGTCTTGGTTCTCCACGCGCCGCACGTGTGTGCACACATTTCACCTCACCATGGAATGAGGAAATCCGCACGTCTGCATTCAGGATGGTCCTGTGCCCACAGGAGCCCCGGGGGCGCCAGGAAGATGCAGACACCCGAGCATTCTGGCTGGGGTGCCACCCTCCCAGGCTGGGCATACCTACATTCAGACATTCAATATGCAGCTTAGCCCTCAGGCGGAACTTCAAGAAACACGGGATACGACAGCAGGGTCCGGGGCCGTGCGTGTCTGTGGGCCGCCGCCCCTCATCCCTGCGCATCTTGGTGCTGTCGGAGAAACGCCTCCTCGTTTGCAGCCTGTGGATGGCAGCCTTTCTATTTTCCAGTGAAGGTGCAGAATTTTCCTCTGCTCTGCCTTGCTCTGCCAGGGCAAGGAGGAGTTAAACCCTTGCAGAGTCACACCCACCTTGCCTGAGAAGCCCGAGCAGTATTTTTAAGCCCTAATTAAAGCATGTCAGGATCAGCCAGATTCGGAGCCTGCAGTTACATTCTCTAATAGGAGAGCACCGCTGGCGGGATGATGAATGATTTTATCAGCATTATCAAGTTACATGGAAAGAATGCGGGGGTGGGGGGCTTTTAATACGCTGCCTGAGGAGGAGGCCCCATCCTGCGGGAGTCTGGGCTCTCTAGATTTCAATCCATTTTCAATTACCCTAAAAAATGACAAGACTAAGGGCACTGGCTAAGGGCTGACCCTTCTTCATATTAATTTAGGTCCACCACCCTCATTTTCTGATCCTTCTATCTCCAAGTGGCAGGCAGAGCTGGAGAGTCCCAGAGCCCCGCTCAGCATTTCACAGGTTCAAGGAGCACAATCAAATCCATCCATCTCAAAGCATTAATTAATTGTGGAAGCAGTGGAACTGAAGATTGCCTCCTTAAATTACGACCCCAGTTTCCCCAAACCTCAGCCGTGTGACTTGGCTGAAGAGTTCCTTCCCCTCTCGTGACTCAGTCTCCTCATCTGTGACATGGGAGTAAGATGGTAATTACCACATAAGATGCTTGTGAGCATTAAATACAATAATGCCCGCGGAGCACTTCACGTGGTACCTGGTGTCACAGAGAGTGCCATGATTATGAGCCAGCATTGTTTTCTGTGCTTTTGTTGAGACCTGGGACCTGAACAGGTGCAGAGCCTGGGTTCCCCGTTCTCAGATTACCCCCAAAATAGCAACTGTGTAAAGCACTCACGTGCAGCTAGATTCTCCTGGGAGATGACTCCCGAACCTGGAGTGGAGGGCCAGGGAAGGGCAGGGAAGCCGACCTAAGGGCATGTCATCAGGATGCTCCTGTCCTCCTCCATTTTCTATCACTGCTACAGAACGCAGGAAACTGGGAAGTTTATAAAGGGAAGAGGCTTATTTCTCTCACGGTTCCAGAGGCTGGGAAGTCCAACAGCACGGCACCAGCCAGGACCTGTATTTCTTGGACCACTGTTGGAAAGCAGAAGGGCAAGCAGCTTTGTGCAGGGGTGGGGGGGGGCAAAGGGGACCACCTGCTTTGGAACATCTGCTCTCATCAGAACTGACCTAGTTCCACCAGAACCACAGTAATCAGCTATGAGAGTGGACTCTTGTGACCTAACCACCCCTCCAGTGTCCTTCCACCTCTCAATACCATTATCTTGGCAGTTAAATTCTGTGAGTTTTGGCAGAGACAAACCCTGTCCACACTGTAACACCCCCCAAGGAAAATGGAGACATGATCGGGCCTGGAACCATCCCAAAGACACGTAGGACACCACTTGGAATTGTCCTTCAGGAATCCAGGAGAAGGTTCATCCGTTGGTCCTTCCCTTCCTCCATTTCTGCATTACCGGGTGGAGGGCAGGCCCTGGGCATGGCCCGTCCACTGGGGAATCCGTAGGCAGGAAATGGGACACTCCCTGTCCTGGGCTGTCTGATCAGGAGAACTGATAGGGACAGTCTGATGTCCCCTTGCTAAAATGGGAAGACGGTGGCAGAGTGCAGGCCGAGCAGCCAGGGCAGCAAGGTCCTCCCTGGAGACACAGGGGCCTTGAGGCAAGAGCAGCTCCGATGCTACAGGTGTGGTGCAGATGACGTCACTCAGAGGCGTGCTAAAGTCAAGGTGCTGACGATGTGGGCACAGGGAAGCCAGTCCCCAGCCATCAGAGCCCTCAGGAGGTAAGGCTCCGGCAGTAGCTGCTAGAGCACCCCCAGGTCATAGTCCTGCTGTCTCCTCCTCCAGCTGTGCTCTGCCAGGATCCCAAGAGCACCGTGGTACCCGATCTGAGAGACCAATCCTGAGGACCCTGGATGATGCCTGACCTTGGTCTTGGGGTGGCTTCTAAAGTTATGACTTCAAGCACTGTCAATTCCAGAAGTCTATGATACTTGAGCCAAAAACCTAAACCGTGAGGGAAAGAGGGCGTTTGACAGCTCATTACAGTCTGCGCTACTCCCTCCCTGCATCACCAGACACCATCCTGACAAGCCCTCGTGGATCCAAGGTGAAAATTCAATCAAAGCAGCGTTTTCAGAAGTCCAATATCTTAGCCATGATTAGCTAATAAAATTCCCGTGGCCTGATGGTATTAGTTTTCTGAGTTTTAATTTCCATTTTTACTGCAATTCATCTTTGTCTGAATTCAGATCCATTTCTTTGCAGCTCTGGGCACTAGTTAATTTGAATAAATGAGACAAGCACCGAGGACAGGTGAATATCCATCATGTGTCTCCCATCTCCAGGGAGCCGATCCCACCACGACAGCCGTGAGCCCTCCCCGCGCTGGCGGTCCTTGTCGGATGCTCCGCCGTGCTGGCATCTAACGAGGGCGGCCAGGGCAGTGGAGACAGCGAATTGCCCAACAATTAAGGGCTTGGTCGGTCTGGCTCCATGGCGCCTGGTTCCCTGGAAGTCTCTGTGACGGATTAAGTGTTTACAGCTTCCCTCTGCCACCCCATCTCCTTCTCCCTTCAAGCCTGCTGTTAAGCTGTCAGTGTAAACAATGGCTCTGCCTTGGGTTGCCCTCGACGTCCATCAGTCTCAGAAAGGCAGAGGCTATTGTCGCTGTTGGCGAATCTCCCATCTGAAGGCAGTGTTGTTGTTGTTGTGTTTTTTTTCCTCTGTGTGGTCCTCATGTGACTGAAAACAACTTTCCAAAAGCAATTAACTTTCCATGCAAAATGAAGCCAGCCAATTCCTCCTCCCATCGTCACTCAAAAGATACTTCTTGCCTGGAATATCCAGTGTTTCCACTAACTGATGCAACACGGGGGGATCTTGTTCTAGAAGATTCCATGATTGACTTAAGAACTCAGGACCGCCACCCAGATCCATTCCTCAGCCCCCAGGAAGTCCCTCGGAGCTGTCAGGAGGAGTCTTCAGATCTCTGGATCACGGCCATGGCTTTAACTGCAGGGTCTGCTTGGCCTCCTCGTTCAGGCCCCTCCATTTCCAGAGTTCTCTTTGCATGGCCCCAATAGCACACACATAAATGCACACACAGCCCTGCTTCCTTGGGATGCTTGCAAGGGATCACTGTGAGGACCACACACAGCCAACATCACAGTCAGAGGACTTGGAGAGAAGGGAGCAGACCCCTGCGCCCAACCCAGCCCCTCAGTTCCCTGAAGACTCTCCTCGCACAGTCCAGCTCAGGAGCCTCGGGCACTGAGTTGTGGCTACTGTGAATGGAATTTTCAAGACAACACAAGAACAAAGAATATAAGACATTTCACTAATGATTTTACATAGGATGCACATGGCAATAATAGTATTTTGGATACATTGAGTTTAATAAAATATATTATTAAAACCAATTACACCTTATTTTAAAATGTGGGTTCTAGAAATTCTTGGTTTTTATATTTGTATGTGGCTCATGTTGAATTTCTGTTGGGCAGCACTGCTCTGGACTTTCCTGAGAGCTTTGCCAACCCTGTCTCTTGACCCCAGATGTCTCTTGGAGTCAGTTAAGAGTGGTACCCACAGAGCAGCTCACTCCCTCGGGCAGAGGAAAGTGGTCGGTGGCTTCCAGGCACACAAAGAAGCCTCAGTGGGGCTTAACAGCTTCCTGTAGCCCTGCCTGCTCGGCCACCTCTGCCCAGGTGAGAGCACCGGACAGTGTGTGTGTGCATACCCATGGGTACGTGGTCACTCCGTCTGCCTCCTTCCTCCTCCTGGAGAACCGAGACACCTGTGTGTTTACTGAGGCCATGAACACGTCAGGGCGGGGTCCTTGTTTCCTGAGGATGCTGTCTGTAACAACTCATCCCCATTGTATGGTCGATAAAACCCACAGACCTTTATTCTATACATCTGAGGCCAGAAGCACAGACAGAGGCATAGGGAGGGCTGTGCTCCCTCTGAGGGGTCAGGAGCAGTCCCTCCCACCAGCCTCTGGCTGCCCCAGTACCCTCCCTGAGGGACTTCGTGGTCCCGTGACCTCTTCTGTTTGCATCATAACCCTCTGCCAAGTTTGGTTTTCTGTTTCCTTCCTTCCTTCCTTCCTTCCCTCCTTCCTTCCTTCCTTCCTTCCTTCCTTCTTTCTCTCTTTCTTTCTTTCTTGCAGTACTAAGGATTGAACCTGGAGAACTCTAACACTAAGCTACATCTCTAGTCTTTCAAATGATTTGTTTTGAGAGAGGTCTTGCTACCTTGCCAAGACTGGCCTCAAATTTGTGATCCTCTCTCCTGAGCCTCTGAAATGGCTGGGATTGCAGGTATATGGCACCAAGCCAGGTGTGCTGTCAGCTTTTCATTGCTGTGACCCAAATGCCTGATGAGAATAACTTAGAGGAGGAAAAGTTTACTTCGGGCATACGTTTCAGAGATCTGGGTCCATGGTCACAGACGCCATCACTCTGCTCCCAGCTGGGTCAGAGCATCGTGGTAGAATTCATGGAAGAGGAAAGTGTCTCAACTCATGGCAGTGGGGAAGCAGAGAGAGCACCAGGCTCCAGGGACAAGATATAATTCCCAAGAGCACTCCCCCAGTGACCCACCTCCTCCAGCCACACCCCACCTGCCTACAGTTACCACTTGGCACCGTGGTCCTTCAGGTTACTAACCCAGCAAGGGCACTGCCCACTGATTAGGTCACAGCTCTCCTGTTCCAATCATTTCTGCTCTGAATACTCCTGCATGGGCACATGACCTTTCTGGGGGATAAGTCACTCTCAGACAATAACAGCTGCCCACCCCCCTGCTTCATTCTCATACAAGCACTTAGGACCCTTGAGCCCCGGCTGGA